TCAATAAATGTAATCTATCACAGAAACAAATACAAAAACCACGATTCTCTTAACAGATGTAGAGAAGGACTTAGATAAAATTCAATACTGTTTCATGATAAAAACTCACAATGAACCAGGGATTGATGGAATGTATCTCAAAATGAATAATAAGAGCTATTTATGACAAACCCACAGCCAACATCATACTGAATGGGCAAAAGCTGGACGCATTCTCTTTGAAAACCAGCACAGGATGAGGATGCCCTCTCCCACCCCTCCTATTCAACAAGGGATCGAAAGTTCTGGCCAGGGCAATCAGGCATGAAAAAGAAAGAAAGGGTATTCTGATAGGAAGAGAGGAAGTCAAATTGTCTCTGTTTGCAGGTGGTATTGTATATTTAGAAAACTCCATCATCTCAGCTCAAAATCTCCGTAAGCTGATAAGCAACTTCACCTAAGTCTCAGGATACAAAATCAGTGTGCATAAATCACAAGCATTCCTATACACCAATAACAGCCAAACAGAGAGCCAAATCATGAGTGAACTCCCATTCACAATTGCTATAAAGAGAATAAAATACCTAGGAATACAACTTACAAAGGATGAGAAGGACCTCTTCAGGGAGAACTACAAACCATGGAGCAACTTTTTATGTGCTTATTATTCATTTGTTTATCTTCTTTTGTGGAATATCTATTAATATTTTCCCAATTTTTGTAATTTGTTGTTTTTATTGAGTTATAAGAGAAGTTTTGGAGACAAATTCTTTATTAGATACATGATTTGCAAAGATTTTCTATTTTATGACGACTTCATTTTCTTAAGTTTTTAATTTTGATGAATTCAGTTAACTTTTTATGGCATAGATTCTGTTTCTGGTATCAAATTTAAGAAAACTTGCCTCATCCAAGGTCATAGAAATTTTCTTTTTTGTTTTCTTCTTGTACAAGTTTTAGCAAACTGTAGCCTGTGAATCCCATCTGGCCCACAGCCTACTTTTGTAAATACAGTTTGATTTAAACATAGCCAACTTCTGTATTTACATACTATCTGTGCCTGCTTTCTCTCTACCTGAACTTTAAACAGTTGCTATACTGTGTCGCCCAGAAAACCTGAAATACTTAATGGTCCATTTCAAAAGATGTTTGCTGACCACTGTTCTAGAAGTGTTACAGTTTTAGCTCTCGTAGTTCTAGGATCCAATTTTAGTTCATTTTTGTATATGGTCTGAGGCAAAGAGACAAGTTCATTATTACTTTTATTTTTATGTTTATGGATATACAGTTGTACCATTTGTTGAAAAACTCTCTTATATGTAGTATGTTATTTTTTTCTGGCTGCTTTCAAGGTTTTTTTCTTCTGTTTTTAACTATTCGATTATGTTATATCGGTGAGGATCTCTTTGTGCTTACCTTACTTCGGATTTTTGTTGAATTCCTTAGATGTGTAGGTTAAAATGTTTTTTTTCATGAAATTTGGAAAGTTTTAAGTAGTTATTTCTTCTAATATTTTTACTATTCCCTCTCCCGAGCTCACATTATATGCATACTGGTATGCTTGATGTTGTTTACAAGTCTCCAGTGCTCCATTTTTTTTCTCTGTACTGATTAATTTCTTCATCTGTAATTTCACAGACTGCTTCTTATGTAATATCAAATCTGCTCTTCAGACCATCTATTGAACTTAAGTGAATTTTTTATTTGTTACTATTCAACTCTAAAATTTCCACTTGGTTCTTTTTAATAGTTTGCATTTCTTTGTTGATATTCCCAGTTTGTCTAGTTATATCATCATAACTTTAAGCATGGCTTCCTGTAATTCTTCGAATATATTTATAGCAGCTCCTTTGAAGTTTTTGTCTGCTAAATCTAATATTTGCTCTTACTCAGATACATCTTCTGCTGGCTGCTTATTTTTCCCCCCAAATGTGGGTCATAGTTTGCTGTTTCTTTGCATGACTTATAATTTTTTCTTGAAACTGTACATTTTGTGTAGTATGTTATAGTAACTTTGTATTGTTTTTATTTTTTTTTCCCCTTGCATGTTGTATTTATTTATTCATTTAGTAACTTTCATGGACTTCAGCTGCAGAATCTGTCTCTCCCACTATGTGTAGCTACTTATGTGTGTCCCCAGCTTTTAAAAGTTTTTAATGTTAAGGTTAGTTTTGTATGGTTCCCACTTGCAATTGCATGACTTAGTGCTTAGCTAATTATTGGTTGAATACTGTACCTAAACATCTTAATCCAGTAAGGCTTTCACCCTCTGTTGGGAGACTGTATGGAAGGTGTGAAGGGAGTATCACTTGGGCTCAGAGTTTGAAGCTAGCCTGGGCAACATAGTGAGACCCTGTTTCTAATTAAAAGAAAAAAATCAACTAAGTGTAGTCTGTTTTCATGTTTTTCTCTTTTACTTTTTACTATGGTGTCTTTGACCTAAGACCCTGTGCGTGCACTCAAATTTTCTGTTAGTTAGCCAGGGGTATGTGGAGAGCTACATCTCTCAGGTTTCCAGTTTCCCCTGTGCATACACTGCCAGTCTATCAGTTGGCCTGCATTTTGTATGGAACTTAGCACCTTATGGGGCTCCCCTGTACATGTGCACAGTCTCCTACTCAGCCAGTGTTGTGTGGAGGGCATAGGCTATCTCTTTAGGACAGGTGGAAAATTTATCAAGTCTCTCTGTGGCTTTTCCATTTCCGGGATCTTTCTATTAAATTTCTAGCTAGTCCTCAGGTTTCTGGCTCACCTCGACAACAGCAATCTTGGGCTAGGAAATCTGCAAGCTTTTCTGTTTCCTACTGAATGTGGGTTTTCCACCCTCTGCTCCAAATCAAAGTCATCCCCTTTTTTCAATGAAGGTGCTGGTTTCTTGATGTAACTTTTACCTCAGTGGAGCTGGGGTAGGGGATAGAGGCAGCTCCTGGTAAGATGCCAGATTTCCAGTGTTGTTACCAAGAAGTTCTGTAGGTTTTTATGAATGCTCTTCCGTCATTTTGGGTTCTTGTTTTGTTTTGTTTTGTTTTGCCTTTGGTCAATTTCCATAGCACAAAGATGGTTGTTTTTGATGCTTTTATTTAGTTTTATAATTACTTTTTGGGAATGAGATTTTGTAGTCCTTTACTGGAAAGTCCTACTTCAGATCTTGGATTTCAAATCCTACTAGTATTACATTTCAAAGCTAAGTGGTCTTTTCTCTAATTAGAATAAGTAATTTTTTAAAAAGAGAGATGACAGAGGGGTGGATGAATGAGCCTCGATTAAAATCCTAGGTTTCTACAGACGGCAGAGGTTTATATTTCCTTATAGATTTGCAAGCTCAAACTGAGGTTAATTGAAGGGATTAATGGCTCTTGTGGAGAGTAGACGTGTTGTTTATTCAGAGTGAGCCAATTATTGTGACAAAGTACCTTTCCTATAGTGTTCTTCGGTTCATAACAATTTTATGAAATAAGTATTGTAATTATGATCATTTTGCAGATAAGGAAATATATTTGCAAGTTGGGAACTTACCTATACTCTGAACATTTGTATATGGTGGGGATGGCTCTTGAACGCATTTCTTCTGGTTTCTCCCCGTTCTTTATACTCTGTATAACTGCTTCCCAGTCATATCATAATTACTTGCAGACTCTTTGATGGTCTTAATGTATATTTTATGTAGGTAGTAGTTGAGGTTAGAATAATTAATTCTTTTCTTTCAATTGATAATCACTCTTAACTAATTGAAGAGCCCCATTCAGTCAGGCAGTTATTTAGCAAACTGGTAAGAGTTAGAGAAAGAGTTCCTGTGGCAGCTTCCTCTGCCAGCTTCCTTTTTTTCTCTTACTCCCTAGATGCAGATTCTGCCCAAGAAGCCCCTGCATTGCAGAGGGACTGGAGATCTGTATGATCTGTTTATTTCGCAATTGACAGGGTAAGGGGGTCTTATGGGGGAGGTGCTTGGGTGCCCTAAATTTAGCTTTATGCAGCTGGGCTAACATTTATTTGGGGATTACTTAAACTTAATATTTTTAAAAACCCTTATGAATTTTGTTTGTCCTACATCAGTTAAGTGCCAGATTATCATATTAAGAAGCATTTATTGTAATGGCGATTGTTTTTAAAAGGTCCTGTTCAGAAGAACTCAGACAAACATGATTCATGCTTCAAAAATATCAAATCTGGGATCATTTAGAATATACATCACTGAATATATATAAGTGAAATTTCATGACAATAACATTTTAAAAAAAGGTTTTGAGTGAGCATCTGTTTCTATAGCTCATCGTAGTTATTCTTTATTAATCTACCTTGTTTCTTTTCCATGAATCTGTCAATCTGCAGTGAAAAAGGGACTTGTGGATATGCCATAAACATTGTGGGTGGGTGTGGTGTCTTTTTCTTGCTGCTAGAAATTAATACTTACTTCCTTTAATTCTTTGTCTACCCTAGATGCCAATGATATTTGAGTTGTATATTCAGACTGTCTTGTATCTGATCATTAGAATAAGTGTAAAAGTGCAGTTGATGAATCTTATGGGAGCCAAGATTAAGTTTTGTAGGTCTCAGTTGGCAGGTTTATAGAACAAGTACCAGAAATGATGGTTTTTATAATAGGATAGAATTAAAATAGGTGAGGAAGAGTTTAATGCTCTTTTAAAATCACAGAAGGATTTGGCAGGTAACTGTAGCCTTGATGAGTACTTGAAAAGAATTGAGTTGGTGCTGTTGTGATAGGCCTGTTTTTTTTTTTTGAGATATTATTATACCTGGTAGTAAAATAGCTTTGTTTACCTAAAGTAGTAATATGCATTTCTGTAGTTTAAATGGTTATTTTTAGTGTTCTATGTCTCATTTTTAATCATACCCTCGTATCCTTTAAGCATTTAATTTCTGGATTTTAAGAATTCAACGATAATATTATGTATGTTATCCTTATCACTATTAATACTCCACTGTCTAATGCCAACACAGTTGGAAAAGTATTTTTATTCTTAAGCATCTTAAATGACTTTTTTTTTTCTGTTTTCTTTAAGCCATAAGGATGAGTTTACCATTATTCCTGTACTGGTTGGAGCTCTGAGTGAGTCAAAAGAACAGGAATTCGGAAAACTCTTCAGTAAATATCTAGCGGATCCTAGTAATCTATTTGTGGTTTCTTCTGATTTCTGCCATTGGGGTAAGTTCTAGATTTTAACATATCATGGTAGATATTATATACTTCTGGTTAAAGGTATCTTTTCATTCTGAGTTCTGATTTTCAATTCTTTATCACTTTCCTTGGGAAGTTTTACTTCTGGCAGCAATGTTTAAAGTGAATGAATCCTTTAAAAAGGATCAGATTACAATAGTGGATTATGGGTACATTTCCAAAGGCGACTGGTATAATTGGATTCACACTGTGAAGGCATCCTTGCTTAGACACTTATTTAGTGGGAGTTAAGATCTTTTTTAACCTCATTGCCAGGTAAGTGTGTATGGTAGATTTTCTGAAGTTAGTTGTAGTGGATAAATCCAATGCTCTTTAGGATCAGAAGAGCACTGTGTGCTATGCCAGTCCTTTTCCACATTTCCTTTTCTGTAATTAGTCTTTCTTTTTTTTCCTTTGGTGCTTAGTTTTTGCTCACAATTGCCATCAGTTTAAAACTACCCTCCAAAGATTATAACACTGTGGACTTCATTGGTAATGCTTTTATAAGGGTAAGGATTCTTGAGTAGTTTTTGTAATTATTGTGAATTAGAGTAAGGATGCTTCACAGTGAATACACCATAAGAGAAGTGAGGTGTTTGTGGATGCCTCTTTTAGTAAACTTGGCTTTTACAGTCTTGGATGCAGTTTGCTTTCCTTTATCCATTACTGTCCTAGAATATTTCTAAAGTTTTGTTCCTTTTAGGATATCTCTTTGACTTATTAATTTATTGGTTTAAGATGCCAATATCTGTTCATTTATCACATTTCTTTGACTATAAGGAAACCTAAAATGTAAGACCATAATAAGATACAATGCTAGGATAGCCAGAAAAACATCTTCAGTGAAATACAGGGAGCCCATTATATGTCTTACCCAGTATATGTCTTACCCATTGATTGCCAGAATTAATTCAACATTTATCTGGCCTGGTTTGGCTGGTGTCTTCTCTTGCTTCTGTCTCTGAATGGCCTTTTCAGAGTTGAGATCTCAGTTTGAGAGAACTATCTTTCACAGTGGTATAGATTTGTTTTTTGTATAAGGTACTAATCCTCAACTAGGAGTGATTTTACTCTCAGGGGCGTTTGAAAATGTCTGAAGACATTTTTGATCACCACAGCTGGGATATGGTTTGGAGGGTGGCAATACTAACGGTATCTAATGAGTAGAGTCCAGGGTAGCTGCTAAACAAACATCCTATAATGATACAGGACAGCTCCCACATCAGAGAATAACCTGGCCCAAAATGTCAGCAGTGCTGAGGTTAGGAAACCCATATTTTTAGGGTATGCAGGTAGTTGTGCTTCCTTTCCAACCCTCAAAGAAACTCTCAGGGTTCTTCTTCTTTTTTTAAAATCTATTTTTAATATTCAAGGTTCTTTACTTACTGATTCTATTGGTTAGCTGGTTTTCTACCTTTGGCGGAAGTTATATTTTATGGATATAAGTATACTACTTAGACCTGAAGACTAAGTAAATGCTTGAAAGGAGTTCCTTTCTGTGGAATTTTGAAATTTAAAATAGGTGATCTTGAAAACTTAAGTATCATTACCGTGAAACAGGGTGTTTTCCTAAATATTGTGAATTTGTATTGGTAACAAAGCATGTCCGTATGTTTTGAAAATTAAAATTCTTGAAGCAAGTGCCCCATCCCCCCTTCATTTTTAAGGCTCTTATGAATCACTTGATTTAAATTATTGGTTCCTTGGATGCTATTTTTCAGAACCTGGGCTTTCTCTCTAGGTTAGCATTTTGTGCAACCATAGCATAAATTCACATAAAATATCAGTAAACATCTCAATTTTGCTCTTTTCTGTGGAATCATCCTTTTAAACCTCATTAATAAAGAATTCTAAAGCAAGCGCAGCCTAGTCCACTGCTATATGTAACTGCAATGGCTGAGAGAGAAAAGTAAATTTGTTTTACCTTCTACCTAGATTCTCAGAAATTATTGAGGTCGTTTTGTCTCCTGATTTCTTGAAAATTTTGGTATCTAAATTGTAAGATAGGATTTCCGGGTGATAGCTACAAAAAAGAACTAAAGAATTTTAAAGATTCATAAATACTAGTTATAAGAATTATCCAGAGACTAAAACATTTTTATATTTTGTTTGGTGGTTAAGTAAAGAACTGTTCAAGTGTTCAATTTTTAGTATCACCATCATTACTAATACTCAGTAAATGTTTTCTTTGTACTTATGGAAAGCACCGTGCTATTCCTTACTGAGAAATATGTTGGGATTTTGGGTAAAGTGGAAAGTAAAACATAGATAATATTCCAAAACCAATAGTCTTCTCACTACCATAGTCATTCTTGTAAAATAAGATACTTTTTCTCTTTTGCGTGCCTACTGAAGTAATATGAATTATTGACCAGTTATGGGCAAAGCTATCTTAAGAGTTAGGTTTCATGTTTTTCGCATTCATACTGTATTGGCGCTGGGCATCTTTCCTGAATTAGTAAGCGTGCCATATTACCATCTTAAAAATTCAGCTTTTTCTTTTGAGGATAATACTTAATGGTTTTTCTTTCTATTTAAAGAGATACTATACAGATTGATTTTTATTATATAAAAGCAATCATAACACTAACTTCTAAAGAATTTCATAGGAGGGATTCAGTACCTCATGCAGAGGTTTTAAATTGTTCATTGAGTTTCCTCTTAACGCACTCTATATTTATACATACCTGCATTTTGGGGGAAAAGTAATTTATGATAGTACACTAGAAAAATTACTCAGATATACACAGTAGAGGTTTCTTTGTTTTGATTATTAGATTACTGGCATTGACTACATTTTTCACTTCTAGTCATTGGTTCTTTTTATATTGTGTCTACCTTTTGCAGAAAGTAAAGTGAAAACCGTGGTGATAGAGACATTTCAGATTCTTATGTGTAAATTGGAAAGATTTTTCTTGTTGACTTTATTTGTTAGCCAGTTTTCTTTATAAAAATGATTTATTTTCTTAAATTTATTTTACCCTAAATATGTTCATTTTTCAGATGCGTTGTAGCTTTTATTTAGACTTGAAAAGAGACATTAGAGAGAGAAAGGTAGAAATACTGAAGTGTACTCTCAAGTTTTCTTTCTAGTTGAGGTAAGCCAAGGGAGAGACAGAAATCTAGATTCCGTTATCCTCCTTCTTTCTATCCTCTCATTTGAGTTCTCCAAAAGAAATCCTGCATTTCAGTTCCTGCTTTGTATTACATCACCAGTCTTGTACATATAGAAATGCCAGGTTATGTTTCTCAGGTAACAAAATAGATAGTTCTACCTCATTTCATCCTTTCTGTTACTAGCAGGAAGTAGAATAAGTGAAAAGACATTTGCCACTAGTCTGTGTGCTTTACCATGGTTAAGTAAATTGTTCCAATACTTCTTGTGCTTATCAAGTTCTACATCCTATAGGATGACTCCATAGAGAGAATTTTGTCTGAACCTATTTTAAGTTTTCAAATTATAGAATTTTCATTCTGTTTCCTCAAGTTTCAGTTTTTGCCTTCTTCATATATATGATTGATACTTGTGTTTTCCTGACCTTCCTGAAATTTATATTTCAAAATTTAGATGGTTGGCAGCTTTCAATAACATAATTTTTACTTCTAAGAAGTTTCTAATTGAAATTGGTTTTAACAAAAGTTGATTTTTCAAAAGTGGAGTCATGAGCCTGGTATGGTGGTTTGTGCCTATAGTCCCAGCTACATGGGAGGCTGAGACAGAAGGATTACTTGAATTTAGCCTGGACAATAAGTGAGACCCCATCTCTAATAAAATATAATCAGAAAGTGAAGTCATGATTTATTTGATTTGCCTTTTATGGTGGTTTTGCAAATCAGTTTAGATAATTTACTTGGTAAATGTTTATGACATTATATATATTTTTAAATATGAGAAGTTTACTGTAGTCTTTTCAGCAGTTTTGAATTTTTATGCATAAATTTATATTTGTCTTTGTTTACATGACTAGCTTTTTATACATACCTACCACTTATTAAAAGTGGCATTCCCCTAAATATTTATGAAATTTATAACTTACTCAGATTTCTTCTTTAATGTGTATTAACGTGATTATTCATGCATAGTCTTTCTGTTAGTCTCTTGGGTATAAGACTGTTGCTATTTTCTAAATAGTTAAATTGGTTTGAGTGTAAGTTAGCTAATTCTTGCCGGGCGCGGTGGCTCAAGCCTGTAATCCCAGCACTTTGGGAGGCCGAGGCGGGTGGATCACGAGTTGAACAGATCGAGACCATCCTGGTCAACATGGTGAAACCCCGTCTCTACTAAAAATACAAAAATTTGCTGGGCATGGTGGTGCATGCCTGTAATCCCAGCTACTCAGGAGGCTGAGGCAGGAGAATTGCCTGAACCCAGGAGGCGGAGGTTGCGGTGAGCCGAGATCGCGCCATTGCACTCCAGCCTGGGTAACAAGAGCGAAACTCAGTCTCAAAAAAAAAAAAAAAAAAAAAGTTAGCTGATTCTTAAAATATACCTTAACCAAGCCATCATATTTGTCTTCTCAAATAATTGCACATACTAATTTTACATATTTAGTTTTTGACTTTTTGCAGATTTGAGATAAGGCTAATACTTATATAACTAGGACTTCAGCATGATAGTATTTAGCTTTTTAAAGTGATTACCTTATTTGATGCTACTTAGAGAATATTTCCTTTATGATACACTTTCTCTTTGGTAGTGATTTCAATTACAAATGTCCCCAGGTTGGGTCCTTAGTATAGAATGGCCTAATAATCTATCTCACAAGGTTGTTGTGAGGTTTAGCTCAAATATTTGAAAGTGTTTTAACAGATAAACAACGTGATTAAGTAAATGTATGACAGTATAATTTTTAATGGCTTTGTGTCTGAAAAGTCTATCTGGCTGACTGATCTTTTGGGGGCTTTATAGATCAACTTTCCGAGGTCATTATTTTATTTTTGCTGTTCAGTACATAGCTTAATGTTGAGGTATTTAATATTCTTATACCTCTTGTTATAAGGGACTTAAAAAGTAGCATTGGTTCTTGTACCATTCATTGTTACGTTTGTCCTCATTAGTTGATTGTTGTGTGTTAAACAGACATCCCTGGAGCTTATTCTCCCCACTCTGTGAATCCACTCATTAATCACCAGTCACCTTTGGAGATGGGAAAATTACTTACCTGTATTTCTTTTTCTCAGAAAGCGTGCTCTGGAATGGATTCACAAATGAGCTACCCTCCTTCCCTCAAAGAGTAAGGTTTCTGCTTTACAGGATTTTTTTCTTGGGTTATTTTTCCTCTCATCTTTTGAATTTGAAAAGAACTGAGGGAAGGCACCTGAAGAAACTACTGACATACTCACTAGGGGAGTTCCAAAGCTTGTGCTGCCCCTAGGGGCAGTGTCAATGGCTCTTAAAGCTAGAAAGCTCATACTTGGAGTTGAAACAGGGGCTCAAAGAATCCATTTTCCCAGTGTACCTTCTGAAAGGATAAGTTTCAGGTAAGTAATTTTCTCTTACTATGTGATACGCCTTATTGATACTTACAAAAGTACAAAAGTCCAGTTCTCCAGGTACATGGACGATTGTATTTTTTATAGTTTAGCTTCATAACCTTTACTGAATGTCAGAAACATAAAAACTGATAAAAATAAAATATATTTGCTCATGAGATATATAAAATTATAATTTAAGTCAGTAATAATATTTTTAGTTAAAGGTATATTTTCATCAATTTATTGTGCTTGTGCTATCATTTTCTTTACTATTAAATAAAATGTCGAGACACTTAACTTTTTAATAATAAAATCCAAAGAATGGTATTTTAAACTCAAGTTTCTAAGTGGTGATTGACTAAAGTTGTGTGTATGTATGCACGCATATGTAAATAGACACACACATGTAGGTTATGATGATAGCAACTGTTTCCTTAAAATTAGATGCCTTCTGTATTTATGTTGACCAGAATACATTGCTCAAGTGATTTTTAAATATTTGTATAATTTAAAAAAATTACCATGAGACAGTTCGAGCTGTTACAAGTAAAATATTTATTCGGTGTAGTAGCTATATGTAGTATGGATTTAGCTACTTAGTTGAAACATTCTTTAGAGCCCTTCAAATATTTATAGTCAGTTTTTCAGTTTACTATTTTGATACTAAATAGTAACAAAAAGTAGAGCATTTACTCCCATTGGTTCTCTGTGCATTTTGGCATTCTCATTAAATCCCATGCTGATTCAGTATTTTAAAGTATTTCAAACGTTTCCTTTTCTTTTCCTTTAGAACCAGTTTTTAAGTGAAAGTTACATAGAAAATGGTCCATATGAACAAGGTAGCAATTTAAAGTATAGACTTTTCACTTAGTGTTAAGGCTTGGTTGACCAACTTCAGCCATTTGGAACAGCAACTCTTAACCTGGAATTAAGCATAAAAGACTTTTGAGTAGCAAATGACTATCACAGAGTATATGCATTTTTCTCTGCACCTGGGAGTAGCAGTAGATTATGTCCCAGTCACAAGGCTTACTGATAGTAGCCAAAATGAATAGCTATGTCCAGGAGCAGGGAAAAGAGAATGTATTAGTGTAAACCTAAAGCAGTTCAGGTTCAAAGACAGAGTTGTATACTACCTTGACTTCCTCCAAGAATATTGTTCTTACTGTAATGACAGTGAGTCAGAATATTCTTGTCTAAGGTGTTCATTTGTTTCAGAAAGATTTTGGACAGCTTTCTCAAAGGAACTTTGAAATAGAAGTAAAATGTTATATCAATGAATTGAATCGAGAAATTATTATAACTGCACCTTAGATTTGGCATTTAGCAGCCTTCTCACAGCCACCTGGCAATGAGAAAAGTAGTGTCAGGCTGGGCGTGGTGGCTCACGCCTGTAATCTCAGCACTTTGGGAGGCCAAGGCAGGTGGATCACTTGAGGTCAGGAGTTTGAGATTGACCTGGCCAACATGGTGAAACCCCGTCTCTACTGAAAATACAAAAATTAGCCAGATGTGGAGGCATATGCCTGTAGTCCCAGCTACTGGGGAGGCTGGGGCAGGAGAATCATTTGAACCTGCGAGGCAGAGGTTGCAGAGAGCCAAGATTGCGCTACTGCACTCCAGCCTGGGCAACAGGGTGAGACTCTGTCTCAAAAAAAGAAAAGAAAAGAAAAATAGTGTTAGTTATATAGTTATTGAGTAATTCTTATTGTTAGTTATATATGAAGTATTAATATATACATTCTTTACAGAAAAATAAGGCTATACATAACTAAATTTTGAAAAAAATGTGTGATGAATTATTCATATAGAGGCATTGAATGATAAATTATCATTGTTTAAGAATTTTTTTTTGGTTCAAGGACTGTAGTTGATCTCATAGCTAAGGTAACATGCAGTAATCTTTGTGGTTATATTCAGAAAGCAGATATTACTTTAGACCCTATTGCTCAATTAATTCTAGGTTATCAGTTAAGTTATAAGATGCAATATTGATTGAATAATGGCTCTTGGGAGAGAATAAGGACTGCTACATTGAATAATTATATTACTGTATATGAAAGTTAAAATGTGAAAATTAAGAAAATAATGACATTTTAGAAAAGTGACCATCACAGGTGATCAGTATCAGCAAATGAATGAAGTGTTTAAGTTCTGCATTGTGTGGTTTTTCAACAAAGGACATCAAAGAGGATTTTAGAATTTTGCACTGCCCACTATTTACATATTTTTTTTTTTAGTAAGATGAACAGAAAACTTAAAAATCTTAATTTTCCAGCTGAAGAGTTCCATGTCCTCACATGTGGGGGTGGTAGCTGGATATATCAATATTGCTCTAAACATGAAGCACAGGACACATGATGTGTGTACATGATTTGTATGCTCTAATTCCTTTAGAAATGCATTTTGGTCAATCTTTAACAATAAGGAAATATAAAAGTAATGAGTTCTTAGAAGAAAGGCACTGCTGAAAGTAGATTTAGGTGTATCTGGAATATGTTGCAGTCAGTTGAGTAACAATCCATAATTAAGAAAATGTTTAACTTTTGATTTTCATGTATCTATAGTAGGAAAAAGAATTTATTTTCTGAGCCTTTTGTTTTCTGTCTTCTCTTTAAGCTTCTTCCATTTTACCCTCTCTGTTCTTTGGAGAATAGCCAAAACATTGAATGTTCTATGCTTATACTCTCACTGAGATTTTATGTCAGGGTAGGAATATTTATTATATTTATGTTATGTTTACCCTTTTGTGTATACTATTCACATTGCATAAAGCACTTGTATTGATCCTTTTCCAAGTAGTACAAAAATGAGATAAATTTTTTTAAATTTGCATCATAAAAATCACACAAGTCACAGTATTTGTGACCTATACAATTTTTTTTTCCTGTAAGAGAGATCAAATGTTGCATTTGTACAGCAAAACCGAAGCTTTTAGTGGTTTGCTCTATACCAAGATAGTTTTCTCAAACCAAATTTTCTTGAATAATATTCCTTGGGTTTGCTTTCCAATATAGACTGATAAAATGTTTAAAAATGCTTCTAACTTTTAAGCTATTTTGTTTCCTTAACCTTGTATTTCTGGTGATTTTAAGGTTTCTGCAATTTGAAATAGTTTTTAACATCATAAAACACTGGTGATATCATTTCTTTATTACCTTCCCAAATATGCCTTTTATTTTTATGTACAAGGGCTCTTGGGAATGATTCTCTCAGAGGCTTAAGCTGTGCTTTGCCTTTCATGAGAACTGAAATTATTTGGTAAGCGCTTGCTTTCTTTTTAGCTTCTAATTTTTCCCTATTTTATTTTGTACATGATATTTGTTTCAAGGTCAAAGGTTCCGTTACAGTTACTATGATGAATCCCAGGGGGAGATTTATAGATCCATTGAACATCTAGATAAAATGGTAAGTCTTTCAGGTGTGGGATTTTAATGCTCTAAGGCTTTTTCTTTAATTTCAGATTAGTAATTCACAACTTAATATGTTGAAATAATATAATGGACTAATTTTTTTCCCTATCTTTAAATGTACAAAATGCAATGTGTCATCATATAAATACTGACTTAAAGGATAATCCCTATTCTAGTAGGAATTTCCTTCTTCATAATTTTATTTGATTAATGAGAATATTTGAGAATAATTATATATGGATTTAAAATACTTTTTAGAGAAGTACCTTAGCTTTAGGGACAGTAGGGTACTAGTACTATTATTTACTGTTAAGCAGTAATAACCATAGCAGATGATGGGATACCTTGGCTCTAATTCCTATTTGTTTCATGGCTTTCTGAAATATTTCTTCTGACTCTTTCTGAACAGCATTGTTGTTTCTTACAATTTATTAAATAACTTAGTATATTTTTATTTTTAAGTGATAATGAAGATCTTATGAATTAGCTAATAAAAATTTGTGTTCTTTGGAGGAACTATAAACTGTAAATTGTTGCCCCTTTACCTCTGAAAATAAAGACATCATAGCCTTACAATGACAGTATACAAGAATTCCAGTGTATATAAAATTTAGCTAACTTAAATCTTGTCTTCTGTACTGAAGGGATTTATACAAATAGTTTATTTTAATTTTTAAAATTTCAGGCATGTTTATTTTGTTTTGTTAATTTATTTTTATTATTTCCTTGGATCAGCAGTTTGACCTGACAGAAGCATGTTTATTTTGGAATTACTTTTTTTTCTTCATATTTTTAGAAGCTCTCAAAATGATCTAAAATTTAATGGAATTAATATTTAAACACAAACTTATATCGTTGATATATTTCTGTAAAATATCCTGTAAATCAGATTGTTAGATATAATTCCATTTTTGTTTTGATTTACATTTTCCATTGCTCTTAAGCATGCATATTAAGACATTTCTTTTTTCCTTTTTTTAAGAGACAGGGTATCACTCCGTTACGAAGGCTGGAGTGCAGTCACACATCATAGCTCCCTGCAACCTGGAATTCCTGGGCTTATTGCTGCCGTAGCCTCCAGAGTAGCTGGGATGATACGCACATGCCACCATACCCAACTCATATTTATTTATTTAGAGATAAGGTCTCACTCTATGGCCCAAGCTGGAGTGCAGTGGTGTGATTTCGGCTCACTGCAGCCTCTTAACTCCCTGGCTCAAGTGATTCTCCCACCTCAGCCTCCCAAGTAGCTGGGATGTAGGTGCCTACCACCAAGCCCATCTAATTTTTGTATATTTTGTAAAGACAGGGTTTCACCATGTGGCCCAGGCTGGTCTCAGACTCCTGAGCGCAAGTGATCTGGCAGCCTCAGGCTCTCAGCAGTCCTGGGATTACAGGCATGTGCCACTGTGCCCAACCTGTGTGTGTGTGTGTGTGTATGTGTGTGTGTGTGTGTGTGTGTGTGTGTGTGTGTAGAGACAAGGTCTTGCTTTAATTGTCCAGGCTGGTTTTGAACCCTTGCCTTCAAAGAATCCTCCTGCCTCCCAAAGTGCTGGGATTCCAGGTGTGAGCCACCATACTTGGCACAGAGTAAGACTTGAACTTTACGGGCTGGAGTCTTTAGGTGTCTAGTAAAAAGAGCTATTAAAAAAGCATAAGAAAAAACATTATTTTTACAGATGGCAAAAATTTTTTTCCTCTTCATTTGTCCTTTTGCTCTTTTTACAAATTCTTAGTTTATTATCTTGTTTTTGGGCCATTTAGATTTTTATTTTTCTTTCTTTTTTTTGTTTTAAACATATCTCACTTTGCCACCTAGGCTGGAGTGTGGTGGCACCATCATGGCTCACTGTTGCCTCAACCTCTCAGGCTCAGGTAGTCCTCCCACCTCAGCCTCCTGAGTGGCTGGGAACACAGATGCGCACCACCACACCTGGCTAATATTTTTTGGTGATTTTTTGTACAGATGAAGTTTTGCCTTGTTTCCCATAATGGTCTGGAACTCCTGAGATCAAATGATCTGCCCTCCTCGGCCTCCCAAAGTGCTGAGATTACAGGCATGAGCCACAGCGCCTGGCCTGGATATTGTTTTTATTTTGAGATGGAGTTTTGCTTTTGTTGTCCAGGCTGGAGTGCAATGGCACAATCTTGGCTCTCACCGCACTCTCTGCCTCCCAAGTTCAAGTGATTCTCCTGCCTCAACCTCCCCAGTAGTGGGATCATAGGTGCACACCACCATGCTCGTCTAATTTTGTATTTTTAGTAGAGACAGGGTTTATCCATGTTGGTCAGGCTGGTCTCGAACTCCCGACCTCAGGTGATCCTCCTGCCTCAGCCTCCCAAGGTGCTGGGATTACAGGTGTGAGCCACTGTGCCAGGCTGGCCTGGATTTTTCTTAAGAAGAGTTTTAATTTGTTGTTTTAAATACAGAATTTAAAAATATAATTCTTTTTTTTAAAGAGAACTTCAAAGCTACTAGAAATCAAGAAATATAGTTATATTCTTACCTAGCTTAGGAGTATAGTAGATATTGATCCTACTGTCATTTTTTTTTCTTGAAGTGCTATGATAGTCATAATATTTCTTTTATTTATTTATTTTTTTTGAGATGAAGTCTCCCTCTGTTGCCCAGGCTGGAGTGCAGTGGCACAATCTCGGCTCACTGCAATCTCAGCCTCCCAGGTCTAAATGATTCTCCTGCCTCAGCTTCCCGAGTAGCTGGGATTACAGGCATGCGCCACCATGCCCAGCTAATATTTTGTATTTTTAGTAGATATGGAGTTTCTCCATGTTGGTCAGGCTGGTCTCAAACTCCTGACCTCAAGTGATCTGCCCACCTTCGCCTCCCAAAGTGTTGGGATTATAGGCATGAGCCACTGTGCCTGGCCGGCCTGGATTTTTCTTAAAAGGAATTTTAATTTGTTGTTCTTAATACAGAATTTTAAAATATAATCATATTCTTGTTTATCTTAGGAGTAGATATTAGTCTTACCGTCTCTTTTTCTAGAAGCGTTATGATAGTCATAAATATTTATTTTTTCTTTTATTTTCTTTTCTTTCTTTCTTTTTGTTCTTTCTTTTCTTTCTTTCTAGTGTCTCCCTCTGTCACCCAGGCTGGAGTTGAGTGGCACAGTCACAGCTTCCTGCAGCCTCAACTTGCTGGGCATAAAATATCTTCGCACCTCAGCTACCCAAGTAGCTGAGACTATAGGCATGCTCCACCATGCCTGGCTAATTATTTTTATTTTTATTTTTTAGAGATGGGGTTTCATCACATTGCCTAAGCTGATGATATTTATTTTAATTTTTAATAGCACAAATAATTTTGGTATTTACTCATAAATAGTATGAAATATAGCAGAATTATCTCTAACTTGCTCTGTGTGACTGTTGACAGATTATTTTAATACTTTATTCTTTCTTTCTTTATCTGGAAGAAAATAGACTTCAACTAGATGGTCTCCAAATTGTCTTTAAATTCTGTCAGCTTTTAAGTCTGCAGTTCGTTCAAATCAACTCTACCAGTGTGTTAAGCCTTATGCATATGTTTTCGTACAGGATTATTTGGTCTAAAGTATAACAAATATTTTAGTAAGGAATCTGGATTTGAATGTGTAAACAGAATATATCATGTGGTATATTTTATTAAAGCCAAATGTAATGAATGTAAAGTTGGTTACTTAGTGTGTTTATCATACTCAAATTTACCTTAGTTGCTACTTCAAGTCAAATTTACCTTAGTTGCTACTTTATTGTCCAATACTTTTACTTTTAGAATTTTATTTGGATTTTAGTATATTACCTTCTTTTTTGGCTTCTTGAGGTTTTCACTTCAGTTGATTAACTCTCCTTCGACTTTTAGTTATAGTCTTCTTATTCTGAGGTTTAGTTCTCAGTCTCCTCAGAAAACTTTTTCTGGCTTTCTCCATAGAGCAAATGATGAACGATTGTCCAAGCAAATGGAGAATGGGCACGTGCTGTGTGTCTGGTTCTCTGTGCAGTATTGAAGATAGAAGGAAGGAAAACACAGTCCGTGACTTAATGGAAGTTAGAGTCCAGTGGTTGAACACACTTACAAAGAAGCCATTACAATGTAGAGAGCTGAGAGACATTTAGGAGCTAGAACAAAAAGGACTTTAGTGATTAATTAGGTATGTCATGTTAAGAGAGTATTGGCATGTGGGATGATTTCTGGGTTCCATGTATACTTAGATGTTGTGACTCATTAATACAGGGAATATAAGAGGGACAGATTTAAGGAAAAAGATGAGCTTAATTTTAGACATGGCTTTATGTTATGTTTAGAACTGCACTTTTTGATACCACCAGTCACATGTCTTTATTGAGTACTTGAAGTGTGGTTATACAACTTGAGATATGTCATAAGTGTAGAATATACACTGGATTTTGAACATGTAGTATGAAAGGAACAAAACAGATCTCAAAAATAATCTGTTTTGATTGTATTATAAAATGATACTGCCATATTGTGTTTAATAAAATACCTTAAAATTAGTTTTTTAAAAATATGGCTACAAGACATTTTTATTTTTTAAATATGGTTACAAGAAAATTTTAAATTACATATATGGCCTGCGTTTTACGTGTGTGTGTGTGTGTGTGTGTGTGTGTGTGTGTGTCTATATATATTTAATTTAATTTAATTTATTTTTTGAGATAGAGTTTTGCCCTTGCTGCCCAGGCTGGAGTGTAATGGTGTAATCTCAGCTCACCACAACCTCTTCCTCCTGGGGTCAAGCAGTTCTCCTGACTCAGCCTCCCAAGTAGCTGGGACTACAGGCATGTGCCACCATGCCTGACTAATTTTGTATTTTTAGTAGAGACAGGATTTCTCCATGTTCGTCAGGCTGGTTTTGAACTCCAGACCTCAGGTGTTCTGCCCGCCTTGGCCTTCCAAGGTGCTGGGATTACATCTACCGCGCCCGGCTGACCTGCATTGTATTTTTATTGGACAGTCCTGGTTCAGCACATGAA